ACCCATTCCACTCACCCACCCATTCCACTCACCCACCCATTAGCCACTCACCCACCCATTCACTCACCCACCTCACCCACTCACCCCCACCCATTCACCCACCCACCCATTCACTCACCCACACCCAGTTCACTCACCCACCACCCCTTCACCCCACCCCCCCATTCACTCACCCACACCCACCCACGCACTCACCCCACCCATGCACTCACCCGACCCACCCATTCACTCAACCCCACCCACACCCCCACATCACTCACCCACCACCATTCACTCACCCACCCACCCATTCACTCACCCACCCACCCATTCACTCACCCACCCACCCATTCACTCACCCACCCACCCATTCACTCACCCACCCACCCATTCACTCCCCCCATTCACTCACCCGCCCATTCACTCACCCGCCCATTCACTCACCCGCCCATTCACTCACGCCCATTCACTCACCCGCCCATTCACTCACCCGCCCATTCACTCACCCGCCCATTCACTCACCCGCCCATTCACTCACCCACCCATTCACCTCACTCATTCACTCACCCACCCATTCACTCACTCATTCACTCACCCCCCATTCACTCACCCACCCATTCACTCACCGACCCATTCACTCACTCAGCCACCCATTCACTCACCTACCCAATCACTCACTCACCCACCCATTCACTCACCCACCTATTCCACTCACCCACCCATTCACTCACCCACCCATTCACTCACTCATTCATCACCCACCCATTCACTCCCACCCATTCCTCACCCACCCATTCACTCACTCGCCCATTCACTCACCCACCCATTCACTCACTCATTCCTCACCCACCCCCCATTCACTCACCCCCATTCACTCACCCACCCATTCACTCACCAGTCCATTAACTCACCCACCCATTAACTCACCCACCCATTCACTCACCCACCCATTAACTCACCCACCCATTAACTCACCCACCCATTCACCTCACCCACCCATTCACTCACCCACCCATTCACTCACCCCCCATTCCTCACCCACCCATTCACTATCCCCGCCCATTCACTCACCCGCCATTCACTCACCCATTCACTCACCCACCCATTCACACCCCCACCCATTCACTCACCCCCCCATTCACTCACCCACCCTTCACTCACCCCCACCATTCACTCACCCACCCATTCACTCACCCACCCATTCACTCAACCCACCCATTCACATCACCCACCATTCACTCACCACCCATTCACTCACCACCCATTCACTCACCCACCCATTCACTCACCCACCCATTCACTCACCCACCCATCACTCACCCACCCATTCACTCACCCACCCATTCACTCACCCGCCCATCACTCACCCGCCCATTCACTCACCCTTCACTCACCCACCCATTCACTCACCCACCCTTCACTCACTCACTCATTCACTACTCATTCACCTCACACCACCCATTCACTCACCCACCCATTCACTCACCACCCCATTCACATCACCCATTCACTCACCACCCATTCACTCACCCACCCATTCACACCCACCCACGCCATCACATCCTCATCCTCACCCACCCATTCACTCACCCCCCATTCACTCACCACCCATTCACTCACCACCCATTCACTCACCACCCACCCATTCACTCACTCATTCACTCACTCACCCACCATTCACTCACTCATCACTCACCCACCATTCACTCACTCATTCACTCACCCACCCATTCACTCACCCCCATTCACTCACCCACCCATTCACTCACCCACCCATTCACTCACCGTCTCATTCACCTCACTCGCCCATTCCCTCACCCACCCATTCACTCACCCACCCTTCACTCACCCACCCATTCACTCACTCATTCACTCACCCACCCCCCATTCACTCACCCACCCATTCACTCACCCACCCATTCACTCACCCACCCATTCACTCACTCACCCATTCACTCACCCACCCATTCACTCACTCATTCACTCACCCACCCATTCACTCACTCACTTCACTCACCCACCCTCACTCACCCACCCATTCTCACCCACCCATTCACTCACCCACCCATTCACTCACCCCACCCATTCACTCACCACCCATTCACTCACCCACCCATCACTCACCCACCCATTCACTCACCCACCCATTCACTCACCCCCCATCACTCACTCATTCACTCACCCCCCATTCACTCACCCCACCATTCACTCACTCATTCATCACCCACCCATTCACTCACCCACCCATTCACTCACCCACCCATCACTCACCCACCCATTCACTCACCCACCCATTCACTCACCCACCCATTCCTCACCCACCCATGTCACCCACCCATTCACTCAACCCACCCATTCACTCACTCACCCATTCACTCACCCACACCCATTCACTCACCCACCCATCCACTCACCCACCCATCACTCCCCCACCCATTCACTCACCCCCTTCACCCACCCCATTCACTCACCCACCCATTCACTCACTCACCCATTCACTCACCCACCCATTCACTCACATCATCACTCACCCACCCATTCACTCACCCACCCATTCACCCACCCATTCACGCACCCACCCATTCACCACTCACTCATTCACCCACTCCCCACCAGGCACTCACTCACTCATTCACTCACTCAACCCATCAATCCCACCCATCCACTCACTCTTCACTCACCCACCCATTCACTCACCAAACCATCACTCACTCATTCACTCACCCACCCATTCACTCACCCACCCATTCACTCACTCATTCACTCACCCATTTATTGACTCGCTCGCCTATTCCCTCATCCACCCATTCATTCACTCACGCACACATTCAATAATTCACCCACCCATTCACTCACTCCCTCCCCCATTCGCTCGCCCATTAATTCATTCGCCCACCCATTCACTCACCCATTCACTCACTCACCTAGGACTATAGGCCACACAGCAGTAGACCGACGATGCCTTAGCACCACCATCACCACCGCCACCATCATCACCACCATCATCATCACTACCACCACCATCACCACCACCACCATCATCACCACCACCATCGCCACCGCCCTGGCGACTGGAGCGATGATTCCCTGACTCTGAAGACGATCAATCAAACGAGTGTTCATTCTGTGTGTGTCTGTTTATGTTGTGTGTGTGGCTGTGTGTGTCCGTCTGTCTGTGTGTGTGTTTGTGTGTGTGTGTTTGTGTGTGTGTCTGTGCGTGTGTGTTTGTGTGTGTGCGTGTGTGTCTGTGCGTGTGTGTCTGTGTGTCCGTCTGTCTGTGTGTGTCTCTGTGTATGTGTGTGTGTTTGTGTGTGTGCGTGTGTGTCTGTGCGTGTGTGTCTGTGTGTCCGTCTGTGTGTGTCTGCCTGTGTCTGTGTGTGTCTGTGTGTGTGTATCTGCGTGTGTGTGGGGAGCGTGTGGGGAGCGGTAGTGTAGTGGTTAGCGCTATGCTGCACTGCGAACCCGTTCCTGAGCCTGGTGCGGTGTGTTGCTGGTGTAGCGGTGTGTAGTAAACATCGCCACTGGGGAGACAAAGGCGGCCGGGCGTGGTGTTGGCCACCCACCCCCTCGTGTGCCGTACCAGACTGTAAAGGTGGTGCTGCTGCTACTCGCTAACAGCACTTGCCCCAACAGTCTGTTAAGGCTATACGGAGGGGGGGAATCTTTGTCTTGTGTGTTGTGTGTGTTAATTGTGTGTTAAATTGTTTGTGTGTGTTTCTGTTTGACGTGACAATCAAATCTAATAATAATGATGATGATGACGTTGTTGTGCTTGTGTGGTTTCAATCACTGAATAAATGTTTTTTAAAATAATTATTTTGTTGGGTCTCTGCTCTGGGCTGTGTACCCCTCCCTACCCAACATGGCCACCACCCCCTACCCACCACCACACCCCCCCCTACCCAACATGGCCACCACCACACACCCCCCCCTTATCCAAAATGGCCACCACCAACCCCCCCCCCTACCCAACATGCCCACCACCACATCCCCCTATCCAAAATGGCCACCACCAACCACCCCCTACCCAACATGGCCACCACCACCCCTATCCAAAATGGCCACCACCACCACACCCCCTATCCAAAATGACCCCCCCTACCCAACATGGCCACCACCAACCACCCCCTACCCAACATGACCCCCCCTACCCAACATGGCCGCCACCACCACACTTCCCTATCCAAAATGGCCACCACCTCACTCCCCTATCCAAAATGGCCACCACCAACCACCCCCTCCCCAACATGACCCCCCCTACCCAACATGGCCACCACCACCCCCCCCCATCTAAAATGACCCCCCCTACCCAACATGGCCACCACCACACACACTCCCCTATCCACAATGGCCACCACCAACCACCCCCCTACCCAACATGGCCACCACCACACACACCCCCTTACCCAACATGGCCACCACCTCCCCACCCAACATGGCTTCGTCCCCAAACGTCATGGCCGCATCCCAAAACAGAAGCCCAAAAAACGCCACGAGGCAAACAGCACAATTACACTGCAAACTCCACAACGCATCATCTCCATGTCCTGTAACACACAAGGTGTCTATTTCTTAACACAGAGTGTACAAGGACACTACAAACTCCACAATCTCTCTGTCCTGTAACACACAAGATGTCTATTTCTTAACACAGTGTGTACAAGGACACTACAAACTCCACAACGCATCATCTCCATGTCCTGTAACACAGGAGGTGTCTATTTCTTAACACATCCCGTATTACTTTTTGCCAGAGAGAATAATACCGCATTTTTCGATTTAAAGCTTTCGTGACTGCAGGGATTCATCTTCTTGGTTCTTTCGTTAAAGTCATCACGTAGAAGGGAAATAATAAAATAATAAAAATAAAACATAATAAAATACAATTCTCACGACGTTTCGGCCACAACGCAAGCAGCCGTCCTCATTCTTCACCTGAGGACGGCTGCTTGCGTTGTGGCCGAAACGTCGTGAGAATTGTATTTTAATGTTATATTTTTATTATTTTATTATTTCCCTTCAACGTGATGACTTTACCGAAAGAACCAAGAAGAAAAATAAGTATAACCCGTAAAAACAAAGTTTTTCACTATAAATCCTTTATATGCGTGGCAGCTAGAGTCCTCTCGTCCTCTGGCTTGAGATGGCTGCCACCTATGTGTCAGATGATTGCATTGCACCATTAAGCAATTGGTAATTAAATATAATATTTTTGTCCTAAAAAGTGTAAAATTTTGGAAAAAAATTTCCACGAACATTAATTGTCACGCACAACGAGTCTGTGTGGAAAATGTCAGCTCGATTGGATCACGGGAAGTGGGTTAAAAAACGACCGAAAGATTTGCACGGTCCCAAGCAAGCAAGCAAGCGAACTTAATATAAAGGATTTAAAAACACGACGGTTTTACTCACAACTTCGTTTAACTCGCGGTCGAGATGTACTTCAATGGCGCCGGCTTTTCGTGTGAGACGATTTCCCACAGTTTAGGGACCGCGCCGTTGTTGACCTCCGCAAATAAATAAATAACAAGACGTCCGTACAAAATGTAAATTTGCTTTAAAGTAGCGAATACACAACATTTAGAATTTGAGCACTCAACTTCTAAATGCTGTGGATTCAACTCTTCAATTTCGGGCGGCGAGATGTCATCTCCCTGAGGTCGCGGCCACGAGGGTCAAGGCAGAGTTACGGACGAAGGCTCCCGGCGTCGAGCAGGGAGGCCTTGTGGCCATTTAGCCACCGCCAGAGTCTGTTCATGTCACCACGGAGCCCGAGAACCAGGTTCAGAGTAGACCCTGCCTGGATGTTGTAGTAGTAGACTGTTTGACCGTTCTCTAGCTGGCTCTGAGTGAAGATCAGCCTCTGCCGGTCTAGAGGAATCCCTTCCTTGTCCTGGATCTTCACTTTCACATTCTCAACGGTGTCCGTAGGGTTCCAGTCGACGCTGAAGATCTTGCCGGCGATCGTCTTCACGTAGATCTGTGGGACATCATCGCCACCGCAGAGCTGGGCATCCGGGTGGGATGACGACTCCGGCTCCCGCTGCTTCAGACGAATTCCTCGCGTCTCTGGGGTCTCCCCGTTGGCTTCGGCAGCGGTTGCTGGAGGCTCCGCCCCCGGGTTGACGGCCTTGTGGCCATTTAGCCACCGCCAGAGTCTGTTCATGTCGCCACGGGG